ACGAAATTCGTAAAAAACGTAACGAAATATTAGACAAAATGAGATCAGAAACAAGTATTTTTTTGATAAAATTTGTTACAGCAAATATAAAAGCTTACTAAATGTTCGTACCACACGTATTACAAAAAATGGTTAAATGAAGACTTACCGTTCTATATAAAATCGCTGATTTTACTGCCTGTTACGAAAAAGTAATCCCACAAAACACACACGTTTTCACTAATTTTCGCGATAGATGTAATGGCGGAGACGTCAGGCCAACAGCCATTCAGAGTGCAGCTATTGTTGTCCGTGTAAAATAAATACGGAATTGTTCAGAAACCATGGGAAAGTAGAAATAAATCGTAACTAAAGAGTAAATAACGAAATAGTAAATGAGAGCGACTCATTTTGTTTTTTTGCTTTAAATTGCCAATTCATTATGACACCCCATAGAAAATCAATTTGATACAGAAACTGCGATTACTGTAGAACGATAATACAAAGAAATTTACAATAATTTAGTTACGTATCGCATTTTATGAAACAAAAACACATGAAAAAGCTAGGGTGGCAAACAGGTTTTTGTATGAAAGGTAAAAAAGGACTATTTTTAAAATATCTAAATATTTGGTAATAAGTAGGATTATAGCTATAATTCTTCGTTATCTTAAAGATTAATATTCATCCTTCAAAATTGTGTGTGTGTTTTTTTTGTGTGATGATTTATAAATATAAAACTTTTGAACTGTTTCAAAGCACACTTTTTTTTTCAAAATGTACATTTTTTTTGAGAAATACTCATATAACCTAAAACCATCCTTGATAAATGGGCTATCCATAACAAAAAGAATTTTTAAAATCGGACCAGTGGTTCCTGAGATTAGCGCGTGAACTACTACAATTTTTCAAACAGTCATAACTTTTTACTGACAGCTTATTTTTTTTTCGTCCCATACTGAAAGTTAATCTCTATTTAATGGACCATAAGCCAATATAGGTCTCATTAGTGGTGGACATTTAGACCACTTTTTGTCATTGTCCTTTTTGCGTTCTTTCTCTCTATGAACTCATTCAGTATCTTCAGCGAGATGAGGATTTTGTATTCATAATGACTTGCAGTACAGACCTTTCTCGATAAATTGCAACTATCGACATATCGTCAGCCCTTCAAAACCTGGAGATACTACACCGTAAATAAGACCTGGATGCGAGCCTAGCAGGCACATTTACCGTGGCTTTGAAGTCCAAATAGGCGGATGCTATGTGATTAATGCGATCTAGCCATGATCAACCGAAATAGACTGACATTTCAGAAGTTCTTTATAATTGTAAGAACCTGGAGGGTGCTTATTTGCTGGCCATTTGTTAGCGGTTGTAGCACAATCTGTGTTATTAACTAGGTTGTTGTGAACGAGAAAAATACGTACTAAAGTTTTTTGTACTTTTCGTAGAGTTTCTCACTAGTCATAAACAGTTTATCAACAAATGTTGCGTAATGAATACATGGCTTTAGACGATGCCTATAGATACACATGATTTATAAGCCATAAAGTATAAGTAAGGCTTTTTTATTTATTTGTATTAATTAATGTAATTCATAATCAACTGCATCATTATTAAACTACTTTAGTGGAGAAGAGTTAGATAAAAGCTTAATTGATTAGACTCGGATTTTTCACAATACATGCCTGTTGCTGATTTGCTTTGCTCTCTTCTAACTGCTATTAATTTGCTTAATCGTAATTAACATCGCTCATGATTTTTGAACTTACCTAATATTTCAATTTCTTTTGAATGGTGCTATACCAACCAACATGTTCAAAATGTAAATTATGATAATGTTTTATTATCAACTTTTAAGCGGGATTTCGAAAATTTTATTGTTGCGTATAAATTATCTCATAATTTAAATGAATACTGAATGAAGGTTACACGGTTTTGAAGGTTTTGCATATTTTTAGCACGAGGACTATTTTTGACTTGGATTATTAACTATTTTTGCATATTTACCTCGGTCCATGGCTACACCCGCCTTCATTTTGTTTTGTTTTCCCATATTTCATCCTTCATCAAACATTAAAATCCCGTATTTCATTCTTAAGATTTAATTTTCGGAGAAAAGACAACATGTAAAACGTTGTGAGTGTCTTTATTGAATTGCTTTTATTAAGGCCGATGTGACTTGGCTTATAGACCCTGGTGGTCTCCCGTGTCTCCCGGTCGTCTGATACCATGACATTATGGCCATTTGTAATATAAACTACACCATTTTTGGTATAGTATTTGCAAAAGCAAACACATACATAACTAAGGTTTTTAATTGACTGACTAACGCACCATAATTGCGTCTCAAGCATTTAAAACGCGTGGTTTTAGTACCCCTGAAGTATTTAAAGATTCCTTCTTGCGACATGCGCGTACGCATCCGGGCGCAAATTGCGATGTCAAAGTTTAAACGGTTAGGGAAATATGTTTAGTGTAGTAATAAATAACTTAGCAGGAAAACGATGTCGGACAGGGATTTTAAATCTGTTCCGAAGCCCTGAGACGTCGTAAGGCAATTGAAAATAACCCCCTCACTAATAAAAAAACTAAAACCCAACTACGACAAAAAAACGACGCTGAAAAAGTATAAAACAAGATTTTCAGCATACTGAACTGAACAAAGTTGCTAATGTAGTTGCATAGTAATTTTCATGTTTGGAAAACCGCAGTCACACGTTGTCAAAGTGCTACGGTAGGTAATAACGTGTGACTACGCCTTTCCAAACATGAAAATTACTATGCAACTACATACATTAGCAACTTTGTTCAGTTCAGTATGCTGAAAATCTTGTTTTATACTTTTTCAGCGTCGTTTTTTTGTCGTAGTTGGGTTTTAGTTTTTTTTACTTTTTATTTATTATTTGTACTGTTTTGGTGTTAAAGTGTATTTGTGGCGCATAATATTAACTAAAGTTAAATTGATGAACTAATAAGTAGTAAAGAAGCTATGAACGAAAAAATGTGAATTATATGCAATCAGCCTATGAATACAGGTAAAGTCACAAGCAAATGCTAGTAATATATATATATATATATTCAAGACGTACAAGTAAAGCGCTTTCAAATGATACCAAACACGGCATATTTTTCTTAACTTTATTTTTTTACTCTGTATGTTTTGTCCGCTAGAGGGCGCCACATTAGATTTTGTGAAACCGCATATAGCCTATAACCAGCGGACAATTAAGACGCTTCTAATGATATGTCATTTGTCGAATTCTGATAAGTAGTTTAGAAGTTACGAGGGAACAGATGAACATACATACATACATACATACATACATAGTCTGTCAAAATCATAACCCTCCTTTTGCTTTGCCGTAGTCGGGTAAAAAGTTACGCACTCGTTGAACAGTAGTTAAAAATGACATTTCCACACTTTAAACAATTGTTCAACCGGGCGTGTAAGTTTTATTAGTAAGGGAGTAAATGTAGATTTAGAGATGAGTGGTAATTTCCAAACTTAAGCTTCTTTTTCCAGAAGCTATGCTCAAAACACACCCTTCTACTAATGAGTAAAATAATCTCTTTTAATTTCCATTCTTATGACTGTTTTTTCGGTGTTTCTAATAAAAAATGATCAGATGGTCTCATCGCAAAAAATTCCAAGTCCCCAAGCGCGTCACAATAAACAAATTTGGGAATTCCTGATGAAGGCAATTTCTAGTTTTATATTTTTTACCGGGGTTTTCAAGCCTTTAATTACTTATAGAGTCTATAATATGTAGATTCTGATAAGGTCATCAGTTGGCTTTTTAAATTGCAAGGCTGCTTGCTGAAAACTAGTATGAAAGATACTAATAACATATTAGGAAATAATCATACGAAATAGAAACTTATAAAGTCGATTAGCATATTAATTGAAATAACTAAAATAATTACCAAAAATCTGTCAAGACCGAACGGGTTCGTACATTGAAGGTTCCCATCATACTCTTCATTCATTTTCAGATTTTTTATGTACCTATTTGATATTTGAAGCCTCTATTTGTACTCGTGAAAAAAGCGGTGGACTTTTTTGTCTTTTGTTGGCTAATTTAGATGTTGAAAAGTTACTAAAAATAGTAACAAAAAATAAACATAGTTGCTCATAGCATAGTTTGAAGATTTCAACCATAAATATATTGTAACCGTCGATGTTTGTAAATAAATGAACAAATACTTATTAAATAATAGGTCAGCATCACACCTCTATGCAAATAATGCAATGCACAAGAACATTATCAAAATTGCTTAAATTATAGACGATAAAATCCGTAATCAAGTAGATGTGAAATATTTACATAATGCTTAAGTAAATAATAACATTTCGTCCTTGTGATTTTGTAAAACAAGCAAGAGATTCTGACCCACCAGGAAGACCAGATTGACCTGTCGAGATCAGAATAATAAATATGGATGATAACATAATAATGTTGTGTTAATGTTTCCAAAGATCACACTCCAATATGACGAATAATCAATTTGTAAGTTCCAATTTATTTTTACTAGCCTATAGCAGGTTTAACGCTCTTTCAGATTCATTTTTCCTTTGGTTAACTCTGTGTTTGGCAACGAAACTTTTGAACTCTCAATACAGTTCGGGGTTAACTATAACAGAGGAAAAGTCATAATAAAGATCGGACTATATTAAAAAAAATACAAGTCTAACGCCCGTATTCACAAACATTACTATGAGGTCTCACAGTGCGCGTGGACGCACAGGATGACACACCAACCAATCACAAAGCTCTATTTTACCGCTGTGCGTTCGATTTACTGCTTCACATAAGCAAGCATCCTTTGTGAATGCGGGCGTAAGTGACGGACGCCAAAGCTGCCAATCCCTAATAAAGAGACGCTTTTAACCTGTTGAAACAATCCAAAAGCTTCCTCGTTTTGGTTAATAATAAAAAAAAACTCAATTGCCTCGTGGTTTCCAGTTTCCAAATTCACTGATGGTGTCTAATCCCCTACTTAGTATTAAAATGTACTTACTTGGAAAGCTGCTTCAGCCTGGTGGCGGCTTGCAGGGTGGCGTACCCGTAGCGGGAGAATCTGTCAGCATCCTCTGAGGGCGCGTTGAAGGCCGCCACGTATCTGGCCGGGTTGGTGTCGTCTAGCCACAGACCTTTAACAGGAAAATCGGAATTAGAAAAATTAGTCTTAGAACCTATAAGAATAAATATAGAACCAATGACATGGAATAGTAAATAGAAAGAGTTTGATCACTGTTTTTGGGACTGATTAAATGCATTGTTAAATTACGATTTGAGTCCCAGAGTCTTTTATAAAAATCATCTTTGTTACATGACAATCTCAAAAGCGAAACACTTTACTGAACAATATCATTTTGATAACAAACAGCCACGTATAAAATGATGCGATTTCGTTATTATCCATTATCAAAATTAGTCTATTCAGAGGAATATTAATAAAAATAAATATGTGAAGAACCTACGTCTAATTAGTATTTAACTGGGTAAGTAAGGTAAGGGTAAGTGGGTTATTATGTTTCTGTTCCTCAATTAACAATGAATAATTATGTAAGTTTTACGAATGAATTAAAGCTCAAAGTTTAAACTTACCCATTGAATACAGCTTCGGCTCCAATATGCTGTACAGCTCGTGCATTTTCTGCATGCCGTACTCCGCTGCTTCTAAAATGTCCTTCTTCTCGCCTCTTGTCAAATTGGCGTCAGGTTTATCATCATCATAATAGTTGACATCATCATCATCATTAGTACTTTCAGCATTATAGTAATCATAGTCGTTTCCATCCACTTTCAAGTCGGTTTCCTTTATAGAGTCATTATTAATTGAAACATTAGCTCTAGTCAAATTCTCCTTATCACAGTAAGTTACTATTATAGTAGAGACGTTTTTAGTAGCAGTAAAAGAATGATTCTTAAGATGATTTCTTTCGATTATTGTAATATTATGTAACTCCTTTGTCAAAGTGCTATTAAACATAGGCATGAGTTGCTTCAAAACATCTATGATGTTATGTGATGACGTGTTATTTGTTACACTCGTATTATTTGGCTCAATTGTTAATATTTCCACATAATTCACCTTTTCAGTCGTAGGGTTAGGTTTTATAATTGGTCTTTTTGTAGTTTTAATTTTATTTGTAACATTATATTTACTTGCGTCTTTCTTTTCTTCTATGCCACTTTTGATTTGTACTGTGGTTGCAACATTATCATGTACTTTCTGTGTAAGGTTCTCACTTGTAATATTGTTTGAATTCTTTTTAGATACATTTAGAATAATAGCCTCATCGGTTTCTCCATTCTTACTATTACTAATATTATATTTTATTGTATTAATTGAATCGATAATTTTGTTAACTAAATCATCTTGATTAGTTAAGTTACCGCTTTTCTCACTGTCAGTGAAATTAGCTATAGAATTAAGGAATATCTTAGCTCTTTCAGCGTCTTTGACGAATAGTCCACTTTTACTAGTGTTTTTTACTTTGAAAATGTCTTCAATGATTTTAGAGAATGGACAAGTAGCCATGTCATGTTCCGGAAGTGAGTTGTCATAAGTTTCTTCAGTGTAGACACGGTTGAATAAGATGGTTATTATGACGAAGACGTATTTGTATCTGTAACGATATGAAATGTTGTTTAGATGACATTAGCATGTAAAGAGACAGTTACGGACTCAGTAATAAGTTAACAGTTCAGTATCAGTTTAAAATTTTGTAATATCGGCTTTTTACGTATTATAAAGATGTATGCAGGTAGGAACTAAACTGAGTTTTGATTACTTACTTAATTACATGACAGTTAGAATACATAGGAATATTTATCTTCAAATCTGTCAAAATCAGTACTTCTCTAGACAAAAATTATGTACCTACCTAGCAGAGATTAAAATCTAGTCCATACTTTTGCTCAGTTTTTAAATAAGAATCGCCAAATCACATTTTATTGAATAGAAATCGTAGAAACTGACAGCTGAAATGTTACTATTGATTTGAATTTAAAAACCAGTCTTGAATTTAGACCGGTATGTCTCGCCAAATGCCGATGTATTTTAATATGCTGAGTGTTAATGACTCATTTTAGTATTTATTACTAGCGGTCGCCCGCGACTCCGTACGCGCGGACCTCGTTTTACCCCCGTTGGATATCATGTTGATAGATGGCGTTTCACGGCTTCCTCCGCATGATTATTTAGGAACGTCAAAAACAGTAGTTTGTCCAGCGCTGTAGATTTTAACCAATGACGATGGATGGCGCTTTTTAGACACGTCTTATTTATTTATTGAAATTTATTTGTCACATATCGTCATAAATTATAGCCTATATGTTAATCTGGGTTATAAACAATCAAGTTTTTGCGTGAAAGAGTAACCAAACATCCAGACATCATGACATCCAGACTTCCAAACTTTCGCCTTTATCCCAACTAATATTATGAATGCGAAAGTAACTCTGTCTGTCTGTCTGTCTGTCTGTCTGTCTGTTACGCTTTCCCGCTTAAACCTCGCAACCGATTTTGATGAAATTTGGCATAGAGATAGTTTGAGTCCCGGGAAAGAACATAGGATAGTTTTTATCCCGGTTTTTGAAACAGGGACGCGCGCGATAAAGTTTTTCTGTGACAGACAAAAATCCACGCGGGCGAAGCCGCGGGCGGAAAGCTAGTAATATTATAGTAGGATAGGATTAGATGTACACTTTCCTAGTCCACCTCTGTTCCCAGCATCGAAAGTGTGCTTTCTCTAGATTATTCGCGGTAGCGGAATTGCATGCGATCATCTGTGTATTTTGTCTGTGCAATTATTTTTTTACAATCACCCGAAATTGCGGTGGCTAATCGGTTTGTTATGTTATAAAAGTTAAATCTACTTTTTTTAGAGAAATAAATGTTTCTAAAACAAAAAATTCCGGATCTACTAATATTTATAATTCAGAAGTAACGTATCGTAAAGATGAGTAGTATTGAATAGGAAACATAATGTATTAATTTAGCTTTAATGTTTAACAATTTATTTAATTCAAAATTATTTGCTTTGTTACACAAAATGCATTTAGGTATTCAGTTGGACTGTTAATGCCTCATTAATTTTTATTATTGTTTCGATACTGATTTTATTGAATAATTTGACATTGTAATCGGCAATTAATAATTTAGGTTTTAAAAATACAAAAATACTTTGGCGAGTTAGTTAAAATAAAACTAACATTTAAGATGAAATTAAGAAATGTCGCGTTGAGACAAGTGTTTCTCTGTTTTAGTTAAAATGAAACGCGAAAGTTAAAAATCTTATAAAATCCAAATTGGTTTTAAAGGGCTCTTAAATTTCCACCAAATTAACACTAATTGATTTTTAATAGTTTAATAATTGTTTCAGTTAAGTAAGACTAAAGTAACTTGATGATCCTGTGTTTGTAGGTTGATTAAATAACTTTAATTATACGTTCTTTTAAGCTTTCACGTAATTTTGAAAGTGTGTTTTATGAAAATACAGGTAACCTTATTATAAGTAATTAAAATTGTTAAAAAATATAATTACTGACTTATATCACTTACGGCTGATTTTTCAATAGCCGGACAAATTTTATCTGAAGAATAACTTTGGCCTATTGACAGTTTCAGTATGGGAAATATGTCAAAATGACAAGTTTATTCTTCAGTTAAAAGTTATCCGACTCATCTTAATGTTGTTTTCTCATAGCATCATCATTTATCTATCATATCAACTTAGGTGTTACTTGCACTATACATTTTGGTATCAATACTGCAAACTCATAAGTCATACTATCAATACTTTGTATAACATCAGTAAACATAAAATCAACATATTTATTTTTCATTGCGAAAATTTAATAGCATAAAGTATTGAATTACCTGACTTTGGTAAAAGGCTATCGGGTTAATCTGTATTTACATAATATTGCCCGTTTGCTTTGCGAGAATATTTGCCTTTTTCAAACATGGCGTATGCATTTAACGGGTTTTCTTACGCAAAGGCAAATCAAAATACTTATTTCCGTATAGGGTTACCAATCACACAGATTTAGTAGTAATTTGAGGAGTAAATTAGGGTATTGGTCCGAATACCGAACCTTGAGGCACACCCATTATGTTCACGTGATGAACCGAAGATAGAAATGATAGGTTTATGTTTTTTTTATTGGTCTTAGAATGGGTTTAGAGATGGGTCGGTAGGAAGATTAATGGGGCAGTATTTGGGCGATAAAGGTGGACCGACGATCTGGTGAAGGTCGCGGGAAGTACCCGTATGGGGGAGCGCAGGACCCTTCATTGTGGAAACCCTTAGGGGAGACCTTAGTCCAGCAGTGGATGTCATGACATGAAGAAAATACTGTCTGTTGCTGAGATTTTTTACAAGTTTAAACAAAATTTTTTTTTTTTTTTTTTTTTTTTATTCCCTTATACATTCAACAATATTTCTGTCCATTATTTATCAGTGGAAATTGGGATGCATATCCTGTGACATGTCCTCATAATTAGAGCAAGTCTTGCGGTACTCTTTTTTTAAGTCTCCGGACACTCGGAGTTAAGTCATCCATAAGGTGGTGTGCCAATATGTTTGGGTGTAGCTGCAGTCTATCTTTATATGCCTTGGCTCTTGCTTTTATTTCTTCCTTCACTGTTTTGATCTCAAGGTCGTGGTGTAGTCTTTCATTAGTGACATACCATGGAGCGTCCACTATCATTCTCAACATTTTTGATTGGAATCTTTGCAGTATTTCGAGGTTTGAGTTTGCGGCTGTGCCCCACAGTTGTATTCCATATGTCCATATTGGCTTTATGATGCACTTATAAAGCAGAAGTTTGCTCTCCATTGAGAGCTGACTTTTTCGGTTTAGTAACCAGTACATCTTGCGCACCTGTTGCCCCATAGCAAGGCGCTTGGTATAGATGTGCTTTCTCCATGTCAAGCGTCTGTCTAAGTACATTCCAAGGTACTTCGCTTCGTCAGATTGTGGGATCTGCACACTATTTAATGTCACCGGTGGACAGGTAAGTCGCCGGGTCGTGAATGTGACTTGTACAGATTTTGTTTCATTGGCTTTAATACGCCAATCTTTCAGCCATGTTGTGATTTGGTCTAAACTGGTCTGTAGCTTATGGGAGGCCTGATTTGGTGTATCATCGGAGGCCATGACAGCTGTATCGTCGGCAAAAGTTCCCATGACCACATTGTCAGAAATCGGCAAGTCTGCAGTATAAAGGAGGTATAGTGTAGGTCCCATAACGCTGCCCTGCGGCACCCCCGCTTGAATTTTTCTAAGCTCAGTTGTAGCCTCTCCTTGACTGACGAAAAAGTGTCTACCAATCAGATAAGATCTAATGATATTATAGTAATTTATTGGCAACGTCTTCTTTATTTTGTATAGGAGTCCATCATGCCAGACTCTATCGAACGCCTGTGATATGTCCAGAAATGCAGCCGTACAGTATGATTTCTGTTCAAACGCCTCTGTTATTGCCTCCGCAAGTCTATGAACTTGCTCAATTGTGCTATGCTTTTGTCTGAAGCCGAACTGGTGGTCTGGTATTAATTTAGATTGTTCAATAACAGGATTTAGCCTTGATAGAATCAGCACCTCCATAACCTTGGAAGCAATCGGGAGTAGGCTTATTGGGCGGTAGGACTTAGCATCTTCGGGATTTTTACCTGGTTTTGCAATCATTATAATTTTGGCTACTTTCCATTGTGGAGGTACATATTCTCTGCGCAGGATGGCGTTGTACAGCTGTGTCAAGTATGTTATTCCCTCTTTTGGTAGTTCTCTAAGGACAGTTGCTGTGATTAGGTCGTAGCCCGGTGCCTTTCCTACGTCTAATTTTTTGATTGCTGACTTGATTTCGGCTTTACTAAACTTTCGAATTGGTGGTTCTAGTTGGTGAGTCTGATTTAAGAATTCGGCGACGTTGTCAATTATAGTAGAGCCAGTGTCGGGATTAGGTGTGAAGACTTCCTGTAGGTGGTCCATGAAGACGTGAGCTTTTTCAGTATCATTATTAGCCCAGGAGTTATTTGGCTTCAATAGAGGTGACTGGTGGTTAGTCGGGCGTTTAAGGTCCTTTGTCGCCTTCCATAATGAGTAGTCTGTTGATGGTTTAGCGTCCAGGTTCCGCAAGTATGTTGCAAGGTTACTGTTGCGATCATCAGTTAGTAGTTTCTTGAGTCGTGAAGCTAATCTATTATAAATTGCCTTATCTCCAGGATACCTCGTAGACTGCCATCTCTTTCTAGCTTTCCGCTTGTCACTCAATAGTTTTCTAAGAATAGGAGAACATTGAGGTCCGTCGCGGGTGGAGGCTGGTGTAGGAGGCATGGCCTCCCATGCTGCTTGCTGGATAATGTTGTTAAAATGTTCAACTGAGTTCGTGATATCTCCGTCTGTCTGTAATGGTATTTTTAGATCTATAGAGTTTGCCACCAGTTCCCGGAAATATTCCCAGTTTGTTCCACGTGTATGTAGTCTACATGGTTTCTCCTTTTGCACGATCTTTCGACGCAGCAGAATCTCAACAGGAGAGTGGTCAGAG